TTTAAAATGTGTTTCTGTGTCTCTGCTTAAAGATACATAAAGGGATTATCAGAGGAACCAGCAACAAGTGTACTTATGGGTCCTGAAGTATTTTGAATGTGTTAAACACTAGCCTTTAAAGATTGAGAACATAATAGATCATTTAAGATGTGATGAAGAGCCTGTTACTAGAGGGTAATGTAATGCCTGTACTCTGAGGTAGTTATTCCGAAGTAACTCCTTATTCATTAAGGAGGATAGCATCCACTTTCATTCCGGCCAAGGTCATTTCTGTTATCCAGGATACTCTCTTTGAATTCTTATGGAAGCTGGCTGACCAAGTGGAAATTTTAGGGAAGAAAACAAGAGTTAGAAAGTGAAGAATTTGGACAATCATTCTCTATTGCTTATAGCTACTGAAGAGAGAAACAGGTGTAAGTAGAATTTCTCCAGACTATCCACTAAAAGAAAAACAAACCGGTATTTACCAGTGGTTCCAGGCAGCAATATTTTTGTTTAAAAGTAAATCTAAAATTCTTTCTAAAATACAATATTTTATGCCTTTTGTAATTTCTAATGTTTTTCATATTGGAATAAGTGACAACTAACCCTTTGCTTTTCTTCACCTGACAATTGAGAATCATTTTTGGAGCCGGGAAAGTGAGGACCAAAACACGTGTGATGAGTTTTTTGATGAGGACTCTGCCCTTTAGAACTTCGGTACTTAGGGAAGATTTACTGGATAATTTCACAAACCTATTTGGCAGAGTTAAATAATCTTTTAATTGGGAAATTGATGATATAATAACTGTTATTGGAAATGTGCCAATTTCCTATTTTATATCGTGGTTTGGTTTTGATGGGAATTTGGGGAACAACCCGAAGGTCCCTTAGCATGAATAAAATTGGAGCTTCATCTATTCTATCTTGTGGTCTTAATTTGGGGAAATTCTGTTGTTTTCCTGTTTAATATCTGTCCATTGATTAAAGAGTGATAAATCTTACGTGTGCTTACGTATATGTTAGTGCAGATTGTTGTATAGACATTACTTCAGTTAGGGTATATCGGGTAGGTAAAACAGGTATTATCCTTGCTTCTGTGGAGACGGAAGGTGGGCCTCAGAGAGGTTGATTGAGGTTTTTAAGGTCACAGAGCCAGTAGATGACAGAGGTGAAACTGGGGACAGGTCTTCTCAATCCTAAACTGTGTCTTCGTTTTCTGTGGGGTGGGTGCCACAGAGCAAAAGATGACCTTGGGTGCTTCGAACAGCTTCAACTGAATGGAAAACAGAAGTTAGCATTGCACCAAGCTGCCGCCAGGTTTAAAACGTACTGAGGTGTACATTTAAATTATAGGTAGTTACAGAGATATATACAAAGAGCCGTCCACTAACATCTGGGACTAACTCAGGGGTTTTAAAAGGACCCCACCATTATCTGACTCGTTGCATAGGAAATTAACCTCTGATCGTCACTGTCAAATGGATCTTTTTTTTTTTTTTTTTTTTTTGTCAAATGGATCTTAAAATGCTCATGTGCTCAACTCACAGAACTACTTTCAGAACAAATATTATCATTAGGATACTTGGTAAATCCCCAAATGCTGTAAAACTGTGTGATGTTGTGTTTTGTATAATTCACAAAATTTAATGTTTATTGTGGCCTGTAGCTTAATTGCATCAAAAAAATACACATTATATAATTAAGGCCCTAGTTACTTGGTTAAGAAATATCCACACAATTGATATAAAGGGGAGTTTATTTTTCTTTTGTTTCGATCATTAGCTTCTCTTATTCATTTGACAAACCTTTATTTTATCTCCTAAAGTTTGCTGGGCAATGGGCTGTGTATTGGACAATAGATGGTAATAGAACTAGGTTAGCAGGTACAGCTTCTTCTGGTGGGAATATAAATTGGTGTAGTCTGTATAAAAAGCTTCTTCTGGTGGGAACATAAATTGGTGTAGTCTGTATAAAAAGCAATTTGAGTAATATATTTTGAAAGAGTGAAAAAAGTTCTTATTATTATGATCCAGTAATTATACTTATATAACTATATTCTGAGGCAATTAAGGTAATTAAAGGTGCAGACAGGGCAGCTAAGTACAGTGGTGTAGGATATGGATGCTTGGCTGAGGGGTGAGCCGTGGAAATCTACACTAGGCTTCCCTGGCCAGGCCCCACCTCCTGATTAGAGCCTGTCTGTGTCTTCCCAGAGAGGGCATCCTTTCTAGTTGTCCAAAGGCATCCTCCAGGCTAGCAGAGGTCCTTGTGTCCAAGATTTACGTAGAAGGATGTGTGTTGTCGGTAATAGTAAAAAATAATAAACTAGTAGACAAAAGTGAGGGAGTAAATAATACTGTATCCCTACAATGGAGTATTATGAATTTAGGGAGAAGCATTAATAAGTTGAGTGTCATGTAAAAATTCTCATGGTTTATTAAAGTGTGAAAAAAAATTATAGAACCAGAATGTAAGATCGAAACCAGTTTTGAAGTACCTGGTACATTCTGCTGAGAAGTGGGAACTGATGGATTGAGATATATTTTGAAGAATAGAAAGGACAAGACGTATTTTGATAAGAACATGGTGTTTTAGATGACTTTTTAGTTCTTTCAAGGGGTACCCTATTATGGTTTCATAATGTAAAATAGAATTATCCTCTGAATTTCAAGAGAATATTTCACCACTGTCATATTAAAATATTGTATTTATGTTCCATTGCTTCTTAGTGGCATTTCTAGTAGTGGTGAAAGCTGTACTATATTTTAGGGGATGTGTTTTGAGTCGTAAGAGACATATCTATATCAATATAGACATAGAGGGAGAGATGGAAGGAGGGAGGGAGGGAGGGAGGGAGGGAGAGTCATTGACTGACTGATCAATTGATTGGGTTAAAACTGGAATAAAATGAAAGACCACATCATCTTACAGGCCAAGCCCATGGAACATGTACATTCTGGTACATTTCATTTAAGGCTTTATGAGTGAGTGAACTCCTTTTTCTGTTCAAATGTATGGAAACACATACAAAGGAGACCTGGCTGGATACTGCCTGTGTAGACATTGGCACAGAATGGGTGCTGCTAAGAACTCCAAGGCGTGTCCCCTCTTGAGTGTAATTCCAAATGAAAAAAAAAAAGTCAACTGTGCCTAATAAGCTGGCTTAACTGAATGCCAAAGAAAATTTGCCTCATGAAATGGAAATTCTGAAGCAAGTTACATAATACTGAGAGAGAATAAATAGGAGGACTTTTAAGATCTATCCAAATGGGGCAAATGGTGTATTGTAATCAGAACTCTCCAGTACAGCAATATTTAATTCTATTTGGTGAGATCCAAATGGTGTTGGGGATTTGGAAGCTTTCAGAAATCACATAAATATTTACTTGGTATTTGTTTAATTTTTGAGTGACATATCTTAGATCAGTTTTTAAAAAGTTACTTGGGTATTGGATAACATGGAGCCACCCAAAAGTATTCATGTTAGTTGTTCTGCACATTTGTATCAGCTATAAAGAGGGAGAACAGCATTCCTTTTAACAATCTCTTAGTTGCGAAGAATAATAGAGCCAACTGCTCCAGCCGGAACATTTGTGGCTTCTCTTTCTTACATTAAATTTACTTCTAAAGCAGTTTCTGCCATCTTCTCCCCAGCCTTCTCTCCCTGTTGCATGCCTTTCTTTTTCTCCCCTCCTTCCCTTATCTTTATACAGATTTTCATATCTTGTGCCCAGGATCTGTCATAGTGTCATAGCTGGAGTTTCTGCCTCTGTTTCTTCATTTCTCCATTTTGCCCTTTACATGGCTGCTAAAGAGGAAGCAAAAACCAAAACTGTTCGTCAGCTATTACTTTTATTGTGTCACTCCACTAATCAAGAGCTTCAAAAATTGCAGAATTAAGGTTTTCTTTTTCTTTCCTCCAGTGGAAGAATGTTACCAACATGTGGAACTTTTTTCTCATTTTTTAAAATTGAAGTATAGCTGATGTACGATATTATATAAGATACAGGTGTAGGATATAGTGATTCACAATTTTTAAAGGTTACAATCCATTTATAGTTATAACAATCCATTTATAGTTATAACTATAACATATAGTTATAACATATCTATTTTCCCTGCGTTCTACAACATATCCTTGTAGCTTATTGTATACATAATAGTTTGTACCCCTTACTCCCCTACTCATACGTTGCCTCTCCCTACTTCCCTCTCCCCACTGGTAACCACTAGTTTGTTCTCTTTATCTGCGAGTCTGCTTCTTTTTTGTTATCTTCACTAGGTTGTTGTATTATTTAGATTCCACATGTAAGTGATATCATACAGTCTTTCTCTGTCTGATTTATTACACTTAGCATAATAGCCTCCAAGTCCATCCATGTTGTTACAAATGAAAAAATTCCATTCTTTATGGCTGAGTAGTATTCCATTGTGTATGTATAGCACATCTTCTTTATCCATTCATCTGTTGTTGGACACTTAGGTTGCTTCCATATCTTAGCAATTGTAAATAATGCTGCTATGAACATTGGGGTTAGCGTATCTTTTTGAATTAGTGTTTTTCTTTTTTTTTCAGATATATATCCAGGAGTGGAATTACTGGGTCATATGGTAGTTCTATTTTTAGTTCTTTGGGGAACCTCCATGCTGTTTTCCGCAGTGGCTGCACCAATTTACATTCCCACCAACAGTGTATGAGGGTTCCCTTTTCTCCACATCCTTGCCAACATTTGTTATTTGTGTTCTTTTTGGTGATAGTCATTCTGACAGGTGTGAGGCGATATTTCTTTGTGGTTTTGATTTGCATTTCCCTGGTGATTAGCGATGTTGAGCATCTTTTCATGTGCCTGTTGGCCATCTGCATGTCCTCTTAGGAAAAATGTCTATTCAGATCTTCTGCCCATTTTTTAATTGGGTTATTTTTTGATGTTGAGTTGTATGAGCTGTTTATATATTTTGGATATTAACCCCTTATTGGTTCTAATTATTTGGTTTTTTTGTGTGTGCTTTTCTTGCAGGATCAATGTGACTCTGGAAACAAATGGATGAATGAATATCCATATGAAGAGGAAAACAATAAAGGTTGGTTAGTCAAACTGTATAATTGCAGTGGCAGTCCTATTTTGAACATTAATTTTGGGCAGTTATTCTCATTAGAGCACTTCTTTGTCTGACTGTGAGACAGAGGTCAATGGTTAGAGACATTCATCTATCTATAAAGTGTAATTTTTTTTTTTTTTTTTTGCGGTACGCGGGCCTCTCACTGTTGTGGCCTGTCCCGTTGTGGAGTGCAGGCCCCGGACGTGCAGGCTCAGCGGCCATGGCTCACGGGCCCAGCCGCTCCACGGCATGTGGGATCTTCCCGGACCGGGGCACGAAGCCGCGTCCCCTGCATTGGCAGGCGGACTCTCAACCACTGCGCCACCAGGGAAGCCCTAATTTTTGTTTTTAAACCCTTAAATATATAAAAAAAAATTATAAAGAGGCAGCCCTTCTTTGTGCAAGTCTAGCTGTTGTCAGTTTCGGGAACTGAAGCTGGTTTAAGAATCAACTTTCAGATGATAATTAAAAAATGGAAAACCACTTGATACAACTGATCACTGGGACAAAAAAAAAAAAAGCCAGATTTTGTTTAATATGTATCAATTCCTACCACAAGCCTAAGCCTAATCCTAGTGCTCTATGGTATATGATTGCTGTCAGTGCTGTCCTCTTTGCAGCTGCAGTCTTGGCTTTCATCAAGGACATAGGATGATTATGAAAGGCTTTTAACTTTGGTTTTTCACAGACAAATACTGGTGTAAGTTAGAGGGTAAGAAAATCCTGGGAATTTCAACAGTAATCAAGTGCTGGCTATCACTTTGTAGTATTTATTTGAACTTTTTGTGTACTTCATACTGGTCATAATATAAACATCATAAATTAATACTAAGAAAATGACAATATGTTAAACCATTTCTATTTCATAAAGTCTAGTACAGAGGCGTGTGCCTCATAACTCTTTATATAGCTGCACAACACATACAGTTTCATATTTTCCTTCCCCCATTGCTCCTGCTACCTTCAAATAAATGTACATCATGTCTTTTTCTGCCAGCCCACCTTCACAGATACTTACAAATGATTTTCCAGATTATATCTTTCACTTGAAATTGCCTTCTTCCAATTCAGCATCCATTCATGACAAAAAGTCTTAACAAGTTAGGCCTAGAAGGAACATATCTCAACATAATAAAGGCCATATGTGACAAGCCCACAGCTAATACACTCAATGGTGGAAGTACAAAAGCTTTTCCTCTAAGATCGAGAACAAGACAAGAGTGTCCGTTCTCACCACTTCTATTCAACATAATACTGGAAGTCCTAGCTAGAGCAATCATGTAAGAAAAAGAAAAAAGTTATCAGAATTGCAGCGGAAGATGTAAAATTGTCTTTATTTGCAGATGGCATGATTTTATATATAGAAAATTTTAAAGACTCAACCAAAAAAACTGATAGATATGATTAATGAATTCAGTAAAGTTGCAAGATACAAAATCAACATAACAAAAATCAGTAGCGTTTCTATACGCTAACAGCAAAGTTTCTGAAAAAGGAATAAATTGATTCAATTTACAGTAGCATCAAACACAGTAAGGTACTTAGGAATAAATTTAAGGAGATGAAAAAGAATACATTTTAGGAGATCTCTATGCTGAAAACTACAGGACGTTGATGAAAGAAATTGAAGAAAACACAAATAAATGGAGAGGTACCTCATGTTCATGGATTGGAAGAATTAATATTGTTAAAATATTAATATGACTGAAAGCCATCTATAGATTCAGTGCAATCATATCAAGATTCCAATTATGTATTTTACAGAAGTAGGAAAAAACATTTCTAAAATGTATATGGAACCACAAACGACCTTGAATAGCCAAAGAAATCCTGAGAAACAAAAAATGGGAGATGTCACATCACACTTTCTGATTTCAAGCTGTACTATAAAGTTATAGTCATCAAAACAGTATGGTACTGGTAGGAAAAAACCCAACAAATAGACCAATGGAACAGAATCGAGAGCCCAGAAATAAACCCAAACATATATGGTCAACTAATATTTGACAAGGGAGCCAAGAATACTCAATGGAGAAAAGGCAGTCTCTTCAATAAATCATACCGGGATAATTGGATATACATGTATGAAAGAATGAAATTGGACCCATATCTTACACCACTTACAAAACTTAAGTCAACATAGATTAAAGACTTAAATGTAGGACCTGATACCATGAAACTGCTACAAGAAAGTACAGGAACAAAGCTTCTTGGCATAGGTCTTGGTAATGATGTTTTGGATATGACACCTAAAGTACAAGCAACAAAATAAAAAATAAACAAGTGGGACTACATCAAGCTAAAAAGTTTCTTCACAGCAAAGGAAACCATCAACAAACTGAAAAGACAACCTACAGAATGGGAAAAAAATATTTGCAAACTGTGTATCTGATAAGGGGTTAATATCCCCGAATAGAAGGTGCTCGTACTACTCAATAGCAAAAACCCCCAAATAACTGAATAAAATAATGGTCCTAAGTCTGAACAGACATTTCTCCAAAGAAGATATCTGAAAGGCCAGGAACATAAAAAGATGCTCAATATCCCTAGTCATCAGAGAAATGACATATCACCTCACACTTGTTAGAGTGGCCACAATTAAAAAGATAAGAGATAATGCTGACATGGATGTGGAGAAAAGGGAATCCTTGTGCACTGGTTGGTGGGATTGTAAATTGGTGCAGCCACTATGGAAAACATTATGGAAGATCCTCAAAAAATTACAAACAGAACTACCATATGATCCAGCAGTTCCACTTCTGGGAGTATATCCAAAGGTAATGAAAACACTAACTTGAAGAGATACCTGTACCCCCATGATCATTGCAGCATTATTTATAGTAGCCAAGACATGGAAACAACCTGTCTGTCAACAGATGAAAAGATAAATAAGATGTGGTATATATACACAGTGGGGTATTATTCAGTCACAAAAAATGAGGAACTCCTACCATTTGTGACAACGTGGATGGACCTTGAAGGCATTATACTAAGTGAAATAAAGACAAAGGCAAATACTGTATGATTTTACATGTATCTGGCATCTTAAAAAAAAAAAAAAAAGCCTTTCTTTTTTCCTTGCTAAAATTTCTCCTTTGTTGTATTTGTTTCTGGAAAGTTTTTAGCCCTCTAGAGGGAGTTTTGATTCAGAGATGATACAAGGTAGATTTCTGGGTAATGTTCTTTTTTATGATCTCAGTATTACCTATATGGGTACATTTACTTTGTGAGAATTAATTGTACTGTGTACTTATTTGTATATGGATTAGTGGTGTGCTAGTAAACTGGCTCTAGGGCATGGGGTGGGGAGGCCTGATCTGTAATATTTGTCAATTCCCATGGTGTAAATATTCCCACTACGGCTGGTTTCAATGGTTTAACAAAGAGCTTGCAAGATTCCTTAAAATTTAACAATTGGCTCTCATGAGCTGGAGATGAGCTAGCTCCAGCAAACCATTGATAATTTCATGTATAATGTAACGTTAAACAATTTTCTATACTCCTTAAGACAAAATAGGGCAAATGTAGTAAATTCAAATTTTCCTGACTCATTGCTGCGTAAACATGGAAACCTTCACTCATTATCATGCAGAAAGTACTTATCCCTTTTCTTATGTATGATGTTGATCTTATATTTATGTTTTTGTTCATTTTTAATTAAATTTTTATGTTTGAATGGATCAGTGTCAGCTTTGTAAGTTTATACATTTTGACAGTGTCATTGCTCTGTAACTAATTTTATGACAACTGAAGATTATTGCAAAGAGAATCTTTGTGTTAATACTTACCCTGAGGGTAGACTGAAAATATTATCTGGATTAAGTATAATATATTATGTGTGATTCATTCTAAATGATCGTGCCTCATAGCTCATAATTCATGAGTTCAGAAGTCTTTATAGAGGAAGGAGCAGTGAGTATTTCACTTAATGTGTTTGTCCCAATGAATTATGTTTTTCTTCTTGCTGTTCCTTATGTTTCTCAATCTGTGTTTTCAGTTATAGATGCCTTAGAACAAAGAGTACATTGATGCTTGTTTTTAAACCTGCTTGAATCAGGTGTTGTTAGTTTTAGTAAGGTCTGATTCAGAGAGAAAATTGCAGTTTGGAAATTTATCTCTTCTATATTTCATGTATATTCCCAAGGTCAGTTTTAAGATGACGTTTTTAAAATGTCAGCAGTGGATGCAACATTGCCACTGTCTACATAATTGAAAAGGGATTTGAATATGGCTCTTAAAACTATTTTGTACATTTCCAGTTTGCCAGCGGTGATAAAATCTTGCCAAGAGCCACAGAATATCATGCTGTGCCTTCTGCTTATGCTCTAATATTTAAACAGCCTAAATAGCATTTGTAAAATTTACTTTGTGGCCATATCAATAGTCTTATTTTCAGGTGCTGTCTTCATCTCCTCTTTCAACCAGTCAATCAATCAATTAATCAATAATATATAAATACAGTATATAAATGTATTTATATCAAAATATGTGTGTGTGTATATATTCACACACACACTCAGTTTTTAAGTTCTTTCTTTACTTAAAAAAAAAACTGAGTTCTTTACTCAGTTTTTAAGTTCTTTCTTTTACTCCATTTCATTGCACTTGAATTTGTCGCTTTACCATTTGCCATTAGATAACATTAAATAAGTTCTAAAAAGATTCCAGTTATCCATTATTTTCTATTCACATATATCGGCATAAAACCTTGTCTGTGTGCTCTTTAACATATTTTAGCAGTTGCTCTCATTGTGAATGTTTGTGGACCTGACTCCACAAACCTGGCTTTGCTCCATTGTTTTCCATCCATTTCAGTATGTTTCCCAAGTGCTCTCAACAGCTGGTTTAGAGCAGGTGTCCAAAACATATGCATGCATATACATTAGTCCAGCTTATCAGAGTTCATGTTCAAACTTTTGCTCTGTGACTGCCTCTGGTGAACAGCTGCCTAAACCATTCAGCGTTAACAGTGGCTAAGTTTT